TTGACTCAAGAATATGAGGTATAATTTATGACCAATCTTTTGAAACACCCTGTATAACCAACCTATTTCTTGTAAAAAATGAGAATTGTGCAATCCGTAGTCCCTAACTAAAATTATCTTAAAGTATATTGTTGTCTTCTACTTGTCTTCAATTTTACAGGAAATGAATGAATGTACTCACATAGAGGCGCCCACATTTATTTTCCCTACTACGAAAAATCTTGCTTAGCCCGGGTTCTAACGTTAGGCACCTAAATTCACTATTTTTATTAGTTTCTATAAATCAATTTAAGAAAAAAACTCGTATCTACCTTCTTTGCCTTTTACCTTCTCTGAATTCTCGTTATCTTAGCGTTGTCACCTACTAAGTTTCCGATCAGCTTCCTACACCTCTCCTATATTTTCTTTTCAGGGCCCTTGAAGTTGTTGTTCTCTATACATCTTTATCTATAATGTAACATTACATTTCAAAGTAGCCCAATCGGATTAGGTGAAGAACAGGCTTGAGATTCTGAAAAATTCGAAGCAGCAATTTTCCTTCGGAATTCGTTGGAGGGGGTCTGTGATAGTCTAAATTCAAAAAGTTGGGATTCCAAAGTTGTCGTTACCTCCGCCAGCTTGATTTAAAGGGTTATTTTTTGTATCTTGAATAACTCATTTATTTTCAATTTTACACGGAAAATAGTTTTTACAAAAGTTATTTATAATTAAATTTCCTACAATTCTGCTTTTTTTTTGTACGATCGATTTTTTTCGATTTATACCCGAAAAGAGAGGGTGAATTTTTGGTTATAGAATAACTCGTTTATTTTCAATTTTACGAGAAAAATTGTTATAAACAAAGTTGTTTAAAATTAAATTTCCTACAATTCTGTTTTTTTGTACGCTCGATTTTTTTGTATTTATCCCTGAGAAGAGTGGGGGTAAACTCTTAGAAAAAATCGGAATCATAATTGTACCAAATAACATTTTTGAAAATCAGCAAAAAAAAAAACAAACAGAAAAAATAATGGTACAACATCAATAATAAACGTGACAATACAATACTTAGGTTCACCCCCACTCTTCTCAGGGATAAATACAAAAAAATCGATCGTACAAAAAAAAAACAGAATTGTAGGAAATTTAATTTTAAACAACTTTGTTTATAACAATTTTTCTCGTAAAATTGAAAATAAACGAGTTATTATATAACCAAAAATTCACCCCCTCTTTTCGGGTATAAATCGAAAAAAATCGATCGTACAAAAAAAAAGCAGAATTGTAGGAAATTTAATTTTAAACAACTTTGTTTATAACAATTTTTCTCGTAAAATTGAAAATAAACGAGTTATTCTATAACCAAAAATTCACCCCCTCTTTTCGGGTATAAATCGAAAAAAATCGATCGTACAAAAAAAAAAGCAGAATTGTAGGAAATTTAATTTTAAACAACTTTGTTTATAACAATTTTTCTCGTAAAATTGAAAATAAACGAGTTATTCTATAACCAAAAATTCACCCCCTCTTTTCGGGTATAAATCGAAAAAATCGATCGTACAAAAAAAAATCAGAATTGTAGGAAATTTAATTTTAAATAACTTTTGTAAAAACTATTTTCCGTGTAAAATTGAAAATAAATGAGTTATTCAAGATACAAAAAATAACCCTTTAAATCAAGATGGCGGAGGTAACGACAACTTTGGAATCCCAACTTTTTGAATTTAGACTACCAGAAACTCCCTCCAACGAATTCCGAAGGAAAATTGCTGCTTCGAATTTTTCAGAATCTAAAATACTAATCCGATTGGGCTATAGGCATACTTTGCAAAATAAGTTTCTATAATTTAAATAAGGCCACGTTATATAAAATGGTATACACGCAATTAAATTTTGAATAAAAAAAGTTATATTATTTACAAAAATTAAAATAAACTTTATGCTTCTGACAAAATTGTTGCATTTTAACATTGAACGTATTAAATTTAACAATATGTTGTTAATGGGATGAACATTTTTTTTTAATCTCTTGTAATTAAAAGTAACACTTTAGTAACCTAAAATCAAAGATTAAAAAAAATAAAAAAAAGTTAATGAACAATTTTTAAAAGTCACTTTCTTCACTAACACTACTGATTTCAATATGATTGTTTTTTCTGAGGTAATTATCCACTTTTCAAAATGAATATTCCACCTTTTTAACATGATCAATGCATGTTCCCCAATGTTCTCTATTTACATCCGAAACATAACCTTTTAATTGTGATCAGATCAGTTCAATGGGATTTACCTCTGCGTGATAAGGAGACAATATAATAATTTAAATTTCTTTTTCTTGGGCCATATCGTCAATAATATATTTTTACTTTCCTATCTGTATACAGATAAGGAAAGTATAGGAATCATGATTTTTTTCGACGGATTTTCACGTTTTGGGGTCCCCTGAATCCGTTTTGACTATTTTTGGGATGATGTCTGTGTGTGTGTGTGTCTGCATTCACCATAACTCATGAACCGATTCAAGGAAAATCACCAAATTTTAATCTTAAGCGTTATTCCAGCGTCCAATAAACTGATTAGATTTTGGGCAGGGTTGGAACATCTGGAGTGGTACTTTATTGGTGGTCATTTTTATATTTTATGAAATATATCTGTTATTTACGTTTGCAGAAGAAAATTTTTTAAATAAAAGTTACTTAAAATATTATTATCAATATTTTTTGTTTCATACAAAATTTTCCTAAAATGGTCCGTATTCGAGAAATTTTACAAAATAATTTTTTATAAAAATTGTTTAAATAAAAGTTGTTTGTGAGATAATTCTCTATAATTTTTATTCCATACATAATTTCCCTAAAATGGACCGTATTCGATATATTTGAGAAAATGGGTAAATTTCGAATTTTCAAGAAAACTCAAAAACGAATAAAGAAAAAACATTTAATTTTAAACTTAAGTTTTATTTCGGCTTGACGTGAAATGATTAGATTTTGGACAAAGTCAGAACATCTGGGGGGGGGGGGGGGGAGATACTTTATAAATGGTCATTTTTATATTTTATGGAATATATCTGTTATTTACATTTAAAGAAGAAAATTCTTCAAATAAAAGTTACTAACAATATCATTATCTATAATTTTTGTTTTATACAATTTTTTTTAAGGAGGTCCTTTCGCCACACCTCTCGCCTCAAATGTTAAAAAAAAAGTTATTAGATTATGACTAAAATTAATTTTTTTCTAATAGTTGAAGTCCTTATTTATCTAATACTGAACTTTTAACTATACCTTACCTTGCAAATTTTTGAGAATTTTTTTTTTAAATGTGAGTATTTGTACAGTGCCTCACGAGAAAGTAAGTCCTCAACAACAATTCTCGAATTATACTATTATTTATTGATTAGATGGAGTAGAAAAAAACTAAAAATAAGGTTTTTGAAATATTTAGACTTTGTTTTAAACAATAAAATATATATAGTAAACCGTGGAACTTATTGAGAAATTAATATTAAAAAATCACAAAAAATTTTCAAGTAACCTAGTTGAAAATTTACAGGTTTAACAGGTACCTGTACCACGTTCTGCACATTAAATTACTGCACTCCGTTCTTTTCTAGACAATAACACATACAATAACTGGAGATTTTATATTTATAATATTTCTTTTCCAGGAACGAAATTCATCCCAGGATCACCATAATGTTAAAAAACATTTACAAATTTCTATTCGAGATTCAAATTAATTTTCGCGCGCCCGTCATTTGTCACCTATAAGTAGGATATTTGTTTACTTTGGGCAGGCTTTTGTATTTATTTAACTGTTTTTAGATGTGTTATATCATTATCATAAATTTGACAAGATAAAGCTCTGCAAATAAACTACTTACCTTCAAATGAATAAAAATCTCCATCTACGAAATGCAAAAACACACTCGCATTATGGTAAAAGGTTGTTTTCAATATTTCGAATAGAAATCCATCGATTTCGCATAATTCCCATTTTAATTTTTAATAAGTACTTTACACCCTTCTTTATAAAATTATAAAATAACCATAATTATTAACGACTCCGTTTTGATTTAAAAATCCAACCTTTATTGCAGCAATCTGGATACAATTTGCTGGAGGCTATTTCGCAAATTGTACTTTTAATAATAAACAGTATCAAAGTTATTACTCACTATAAGAAATAAACAAATTTTCAAGGGGTTTCATTTGATAATGCCAAATTTCTACTACAAATTATAGCATGATAAAATAAGATAAATTCGATATATTCAAAGTAAACCAAATCTAACTACAATTTAAATTTTGACAACTACTTATAACAGCATTTAAAGCTTAGTTGTCATGGTAACCTTGCTTTGCTTAAAAAATGTACGCAAGATAATTTGCTATTTGTAATTGAGGAAATAGGTTCTACCTATCAATAAATAATTAAATAAAATATAATAAATATCATTGATAATAAATGTTTCATATTCTAGGAAGTTAGAATATGTAACGTTAACACAAAATATGTTGAATTATAAAAATATATACTCCAGGTTTTTAAAATTTATTATAGCACTGCCCATTTCAGCCATTTCGCAAGCAAGGAAAATTGAGGAGGTTTGGAGCAAAACCGAATAAATCCACTTTTTATGAAAATTAAGTTAGCGGTGGATTTCAATTGACTTTGTTAAATTACATCTTAATAAACTACCTTTTCGAGTAAAACCGAATAAATCTTTGTAAAATTTAGTGTCGAAATCGATGTTTTCGTGCAAAACCGAATAAATCCACTTTTAGTGCAAAACCGAATAAATCCAAAAAATCGATATTTCGTGTAGTAAATTTGTATTTACAATAATAGATGGCATTATAGTTTTCTTAGGAAAATAAAAATATGCAAGATCATTCTTGCCTTTGTATCGTCTCCGATCTCCAGTGTTTGTTTATTAGTAGCGGTCAGCGGTTTAGTACAGTAGTGTAATGTGCCGGCGTTCACTGCAGATTGTAGCTATTTCTTTATTTTGAGTTGTTTTTTTTTTGTGCGTAGTTTTGAGTTTTTATTTGTATTTAACAGAAAAAATATGGAAGAAGATATTTTAGGAGATACAGTAGCTGTAGGCGATGCTAATGAAGGTAGCAGAATAAGAAAAAGAGCTGAGAAAGAGCAAAGAGGAAAACGTGGAAAGTAAGATTTGGTTTTTTTATTTTATACCACAAGTGTATAAGGATACTTTTTCAACGAATATGAATTTTATCGCTCGGGTCACACGACAGACAATGACATGTGTGAAAAAGAGCTCTTTCTATAAGAATTACAGAAAAAATAATTGTTTTTTATTTGTTTCAGGTACCAAGATCCAGATCCAGACTTAAAGAATTTTAGTCGACCTTGTTCACATAATAATAAAACCTATCAATGCCAAAAAGTCAAAATATCGGACATTAAAACTATTAGAAGAAGGCTGTATGAAGTTTCAGATAAAAACGTACAAGATATGAAACTTTGTCATATGATAAGCGTTTCCGGTACCGTAAGGAAGAGACCTGTAAAAGATAGTCCTCGACAAAGAACAAGGGCAGCAAATTTCTTTTTAAAAATTAAAAATGAAAGATTAACCGCGGACCGAGTGTTTGGGCGCATGGAAAAAATTTTTAGAAAAAAACCAACCATTATATCTAAAGAAGAATACATTGGTTATTATTCACAAGTTGGAAGTGTGAAGGTCTTAGGACAAGATTGGCAAATTTTTAATATAAAGGAATTACAAAATTATTTTAATAAGATTTCTGGAATATCGGACTTAAAACGAATCTCTCTTAAAAAGACCCGCAATCAAAAAACGGGAGAAATAAAAATATCAATGGCATGCTTCCAACACTACCGATATGAAGCCCAATCCGAAGTTAGCAAATCTGTTTATAAAAGAGGAAAGACTTTAAGTAACTTTTTGCTATCAGAGGTTCAGCTTCGAGATTCAATTCCGCAAAAAAAGATCCAAAGTGTAAGGCAGCTTATGGAAAAACAATTTGGAAAGGAGTGGGAAACTGACCCAAATTTTGAATGGTACAGAAAACTGTTGGGTAAAGATCGAGGTAGAAATAATGAAGAAATAGGTCACGAAGAGGATGATATGAGAATGGAATGCGACTGCTTGGAGGAGGAAACTGCACTTCATATTTAAGTTTTCTTATTGTGAAATTTAAACTTATTTTAAAGTTATCTTTATTTAATTTTTTGTTTTTTAGAAAAAAACTTTTCTGTTTAAAATAATGTTTTTATTGCTGTCTACCAAAACCAAATAAATCTACTAATTTTTAGTAAAACCGTATAAATCCTTTTTTTGTTATTATAGTGAACAAAACCAAATAAATCCAATGGTTTTAAGCAAAACCGAATAAATCCATTTTTGTTTATGTTATATTTTCAACAAAAATAACTTTTTAAAATTATAATTGCAAAGGATGTATTATTAACGACGTCTCCAATAGTAGTTTCTAACAAAACAAACGAAAAAACCAGTACTTTTTGTGCAATTGGAAAATCGTGTTTTCCCAAAAATCCTTTATGATGGATTTATTCGGTTTTGTTCTAAAGCTCCTCAATTGCTCACTTAAAGTATCTCTTAAAGATAAAATTAGTGTTTCTCTTCTTATTGCTCTGCTGGCACACAATTTATGTGGGCATCAGTTGTTGTTTTGAAAACAGATTATAGGTCCTAGCAGACTGGTTTTCGCTCTTCACGCATGGCGAAACATCAAAAGACATCACCTGTATATCGTATTAAAGCACGCCCTGTGTGCTTCATCGGCCTCTATCGTCCATCCTTCTCTTTCATGTGAGTATCGTCTTCTCTGTTTATGTGATGTGTTTTATATTTTATGATTAACTATTATAGGTGTCGATGAAAGAAAATGTAGTGGGCGATTTTTCTTTAAGCAAATCATGCTATGCACGTGATAGGTAGATCATAGGAAGTAGAATATGTAATTAACATTAATAAAATAAAATAATTTATTTACAGAAATTCATTACAATACACTCAAAAACTAATAAGCAAAACTGTTTTTTTCTTGATAATGTAACAAAAAAAATAAATATCAATGAAGGAGATGTTCAAAATTCTCGCCGCGATCGTCTTGCCTATATTCTAAACTGAAATAAAACTGTCTTCTAACGTTACTCAACATCTCAGGAGCGACCGATCTAATCGCAAGCGTTATTCGTCTTCTTAATTCAGCTAGATTTTAATAATTCCGAAACAGTTGGGTATAGGACATAGTACATAAACTATGTATAGAATTATACAGGGTGTTGCATATAAAATAAGAAAGTTGGTATTAGCCACTATTACATGACACACCCTGTATAATAATTAAAAAAAATGCGCAACTAAAAATACCAATCGACGTGTCTGAACGTTTTTTTTTTTGAACACGCCCCCATTTATTAATTTTACCGAATTTATTCCATTTGGCTGTTCCACATCGTATAGACAGTATAAACATAAAATGGTAACAAAATATTTATTTTTCATGAACACCCATAACAGAACTTTTAAATACATATCTTTAACGTTCATCATTAGAAACCAACTCAGTGTTTTCTAGTATTCCAAAAATCTGAACAAAAGAAACTGTTGAAATATCCTTTTCATTGACGATGAATGTTTTCTGGCTTTCGTCAATTACAGTTTAAAGTCACAATAGTAATGTACAATACGTACATATGTATACGTAAACTTCTGAGCACTTCGTTTGTCTCCTACAAAATTAACCAATACAAAATCACCAGTTTTTAGTTACTTAATGTGCTTTAGAGCTTTTTCTATTTCTTAGTCTCCTTCTTTATCTTCTTCAATATTCCAGGTTGAATCATCTAATTCTGCATATTTCACATCTTCGTCATCTTTAATGGGCTCGTAAAATTATAGGTTCTTCAGATTTTTATTTTCTTTTAATTTATTTATACTCTCTCTCTTTTTTCTTTCCCTTGAATTTTTCTATTGAGCTTCTCCCTTTCCTTTCTTCAGATTTTTGTTTTTATTTCCTTTTAATTTATTTTTATTCTCTCTTTTTTCTTTCCCTAGAATTTTTTTGTTGAGCTTCTCCCTTTCCTTTCGTTCCTTTTCTAGTATCTTTTATCTGTTGTATTCCTGCCATGGTTCTGAAGTTTTAACCGAAGCTATTTTTTCCTTCTTCCTTTTTTTAAAATCTTTGTTCTTTTCCTCAGGCCAAAACAAGGCTCTTTAAATGGTGATGGTATTGGCTTCTCTGAATTTTTGCTAGCTTTGATATCGATGTTAATACTAAGAGGAATTTGTATTTTCTTCGCTAGAAATTCTTTTTGTGGTACTGAATATGTAACGTTTATTTTTGGCCGCTCAAATTATTAAAGGAAAAATTCGATTCATCTTGTTTAAATATACGGAAAAAAAGGTAAACCATAATTTAAGCTTTTAAAGCGATTATTTTTGTCGTAAACTGGATGTATATATTGTTAACCTTCGGATATCATTATAATTTAATTCATCTTATCACTGACAGCGGTATCGTATTTTGTTCATATTATACATATAGTTATACGTTTTTTGTAGATTTTATCCCTTGTACAATACTGGCTTGCTTTAATTTGTTTAATTCTCCTAAAAATATAAAGTTTCGTTGTAAATTTACTTATATATTATCTTATATATTACCTTTAGGTAATAAATTATCTTCAATACCAATTTCATCGAATTTTGTATAGTTCTTGTAAGATTAATTGTTTTTAGTCAATATTATTGTCAGAATATTTTGTTGGGTTAGTTATATGACAGTAAATGTCAGTCAACGACGGGACACGATAATTGACAGAATCATGTGTTTTATGTCGTTCCATTTCTGGATCCGTTGTACGAGGTGCGTTCGTTTAACTGTAGGGTGAGAAGATTTTTCGCGACTGATGTGGTATCGATTTTTGTCAGTAACAATTTCCAAATGTTATATTGTGTATATAGATATAGTTTGTAAGGTAATCTTTCGTAAATAGTCTAAGATATGTACTGGTAAATTCTTAAAGATGGATTTCTGAACCCACTCGACTTGTTATTTTCCAAAAACTGAAGTTAAAACAGGGCCAGTTTTGTTAGTTAGGTGTATATGACAGGTGATTTAGAGAGGGGTAGATGGCAAAGAACCTCAAATTTTGTCTAGGGGTAAAATCTGTATTTTATATAGTCATCGAGCTATCCTATTAAAGGGGATTCTAGGTTTTACTCCAGTATTAATTGTGAAATAACGGGTATATAATATTTTTAGGGAATTTCGTTGTTTGGATAAATTCGCATGTTTTTTTGGACTCATTTTACACCCGCTCAAGGGATTTAATGACAAAAAAATTATGAGAATGACTAATTTCTATAGATTTTGAGTTATTAGTTCGTTGTTTCATATAGGGAGATCCATCGGCATTTGTGTGTTTGTAATATTGAAGTGGATTCTTCAATAGTTGATTGCTGCGGATTGTCTCGCTTGTTTATCACCCTTGGAAAGCTACCAGTTTAACCCTTTATGAAAAAGGTATGTTTCGTATTTTTTTTGGTAAAATTGTACACATTCTGATTGTCGATTTCTTTTATGTTATGGTTTGGTGTGCCAGAATTTTAGTTATTTGAGTTCATAATACTGTTTATGACTCTTGTTAATAGTATCTAGCTTAGGTACACTTTTTAGGAAAATTAATTGTATAATTTTGGAAATTTGAGTCAATTTATATTGACACATTTTGTAATATTTTAAGGGTTCTATTTTCACCCGGAGGGTTTACACTTCGGAGATCAACGGTTTCAACTAGACTCAACCGTGGGGACACAGAACATTGGTTTATTAGCCACCTGGCTTACTTATAGCTGAATGTTCATGTGGGTTTTACTTTAATAACTTATGTATTACCAATATTTTTCATTACTTAATTAATTAGGTACTATTTCAAAATTTTGTCATTTAAACAATTAGCGTCTCGGTCAGGGTATTGACCATAAATATTTTGGGACACAAGGGCTACGTTCAACATTTCGATCTTAAGATTTCTTCTTTATAAAATAACAAGTCGGTGTTACTAATATTTTTGTAAGTTTATTATATTTCAAAATTTTGCTATTTAAGCACTTAGTGTCTCGGTCTGGGTATTGACCATAAACACCTCGGGAACCAAGAGCTACGGTCAACATTTAACTCATTTAGATTTCCTTTTTTCTTTCATTATTAATATAAAAAACAAGACTTAACTCATAAGTTAAACATACTCATAAGACCCATGAAGGCAGAGATTAGATTAAGTAAATTAACCTATTCCAATCTGGGAGTTTCTGTAAATAATCTCTGTGACTCAAGTCTTTCTGTGTTAATTTTTTGTATTTATTACATTTTCTTTTTATTTTGTTTTATGATTTACATTTAATTATAAAATTTCATGCTTTAATATTTTTCTTATTAATAATTTAGACTAACTAAAAGTTAAGTAGGTAACTTCTTCCAATTTGGAGGTTGTTAAATGGTTACTGTGTTTCAACATTAAACGTTGATGTTTAGATATAGGTGCAGATATGCACATGATTCTTTTTTTACATATAAGTTTTTTATTTCACTGTTTATGTAAAGGTAGAAATTAAGATCTTATTTTTTTTGCATACCATCTTGCGCAAGCATCCTTCGCCTGGTACCAAGCTAACAACCGCCACCTGTTGGGGATTTTTTTTCTTTTTGAGTACATGCATGTAACATATACATTTTTATTATTATTTTTTTTAAATTTCTTACCAAATTTAGGTATGTTAGTCTATTTATATGTTATCAAAGCCATTAGGTACATAATTTGATTAATTTTTAAGATTGGAAGATTTTATTGGGTAAATTGGTAATTCTTTTTGTAAAGGATCATAAGTTGAGGCTTGTCTTTTATTTCTTTCCTCATTTACTGGGTTTGTGGGGTAATAGGAGCCTAGTTTGGCCACTATGTACACCCAGTTCGCGCCTATCATTTTTCTACTATTTCCGGAATTTTTTATAGCTATCCACACCCTAGCTGCCGTCTGAGCGACGTCGAAGGTCCAAAGGTTGACGCTGGAACAACCGAAACTTGTGTAACCGAGTAGACAGGATTTTATTGTTATTTTTTTATTTTTAAAGTTTAATTTTAGGCAAT